AAAAACTATACCCTTGAGGTGATAAAGGTGCTTTAAAATAGGGACACGAAATTTAGAAGGCATAAAGCAAAAGTTTGCTAAGATTCCCAACTTTCTGCAAATGTTTTTGGAAGCCTGCTATGTACCATATACAAGGGACATAATCAGCAAAATTAAGAAACAAAAGGCAAACTAGGAGAGAAGATATGAAACATATACACCAGGACAAAGATTAATATCCCTAATATACAAAGAGTGTCTACAAATCAATAAGAAAATAATCCACTCTCTGATAGAAAAATGGGCTAAGGATATATAAACCACTAAGTTACAGCAGAATAACCATGAATGTTTCATACATATAAAAAGATATTCAGTGAACTAATAAATAAAGGAGTCCAATATAAAATCAACAAGGAGAAAAAGAAATAATTCTTCTTTCTGACCACTGATCCTGGGTTTGTGGTCAATATCGTGGCTACAATATATTTTTATTTCCAAGTTGTCTTCCTCATCCTCAGAACTACAGCACAGAACCAGTAAGCTCTGAGTCCCTCCGCACCCTGACTGCCAGTGTTGGAGAAGGCTCAGTAAATTACAATGCAGCCACACAACAGACACAATGGACCAAAGTTGCTCAGGATCCGTAATCACACAGAAGAAATACGGATGCTCACGTTGGCTAGAGCAGGATTCAAAACGGCACGTGTTGAGTCGGCAACCGTTTTGGAAAAATACACAGGGAAAAAAGATCAGAAAGAAAAACAACAAAATGCGTTTCTAGTAGGTTGTTTCCCCTTCCTCTTTCTATTTTTCTGTATTTTCTGAAGCTGACAGTGTGCATATGTTACTTTTATAATTGAGGAGACAAATTTAAAAACCTTAAACACTGTAAAGCATTTGCCTATCCCACAGATTCAGTAACCCCGTCGCCTACACCGCTTACCCGACGTCCTTGACAACTGACAGAATCTTGTGTAATCAACAGCTGACGCTCGTAACTCCTGGAACTCTTACATGCTCATGTCAAGGGACTGCGGGTTATTAAACCCTGCTAAATGCTTCCATACGCAGCGTACCAAATCCTCAGGTCTACTGACCAGTAGGTTGTATTATTATCCCTTCTCTAAAGAAACAGAAACCAGAGCTCAGAGAGGTTAAGGCCCCAGCCAAGATCACACAGCACAAAAACACCATGCTGAAGGTCCCACCCAGGTGTGTCTGACCCTGTGCCCTGGGCACCTAACCACTCTCTCTGCTGACCACCCTTGTCCCCATGAGGAGAAACACCTGCCCCAAATTGTAATCTCCTGGATCAGATTTTAAAAAAACAAAGTAAAATTTTAAAAATCCCAACCATTTTGTGGCACTCACCTCCGTTGTCTTATCTCCTCAGCAATGCTCATCTGCCTGCCCTCTCACTTGCTCGTTTCTTGTTTTGTTTTTTTTTTTCATTTTTTCCATGTAACTAATCACTCAGTTACCAACTTAGCTTTCTGAAGCCTGAGTCGGTACCTAGTGACTCTACGCGCGCGATAAAGGAATCAGCCGTCACCGATACAGAAGTCAGAGAGGTTTAAATCAAATCATCCTCCACAACAATGACATTAATTATGCTTTTAACACGTTTTACTGCTTTTTTTCTCACTTCACGCCACATCTGTGTGAACAATATCCAAAAGATTTACGGTTTTCTTTCGTAATTACAGACATACAGGCTGCACACTTATCAAAATACTTGCTGAGCAATCACGCTATATCGCATTCTCTGCCAAAGATCTGTGTTGGCAGCAGTCACTCAAAACAAAAATGTTGAATCAGGACTTGTGTGGCTTCTGGGGCGGGGGGAGTATTTCGACAAATAATTTGCCTGTCAAGAAATATAACAACAGGACAGAGCGGATCCTGGCAGATTTTCCAGGAGTGTTATTTTTATGGAGGGGGTTGGGGCGGACAGTGAACAAGGAAGCTCGGAGCGCCCCAAACACATCTGACATTTGGTTCTTGTATCTGAGGATAAAATTTAATGAGAACAAAAATATGTCTTCCTAATTCCCCTAAGAAATCATTAAAACATTTTGTTATTCTTAAATGTCTTGAAAATGAATTAGAGGCCCTAAAGGGGCCGTTTGTATGGTACGTCTCCATCAGTTAAGGCTCCTCATTCTCCAGCTCGGTGACAGCTGGGGACGGCTCCCCCGCCCCTCCCTTCCTGGGGAGGAAGCTGGGAAATTAGACTCGTGGAGTCGGCGCCAGGCTCAGGATGACCTCCCTGCTCTGGGCTTTGGGGAGAGGGGCGGGAGGGCACGTGGACCTTCCAGAAGGCTCCACATACCAACCTTGGGTGCTCCCATGGCCCTTGGTTGGCCCTGTGATTGTTCTGACAGCCTTGTCTGCAGAAAGATGAGGATATTACAATGAACCCCCAAAATGAAGACTTGTTTCCAAGAGGGCAGGGATGTAGGTCCCCCTCACTGTTTCCCTTGGTCTGTCTGCCCCACCACACCCCAAGCATGCCCCGTGCATTTGCAATGACAGGTTATCTGACCAATGATTTGGTTGCTTCTTGCACCCAAAGGCGAGCATCTGAGGGCTGAGCGCGTGTCTGTGTCTGCGGCTCACAGCTATGTTCCCAGCGTCTCGCAAGTGCCAGGCACACAGCAGGCACCCAATAAATGCTAGCTAAAATGAGCAGAGGGCTCTAGCTGAAAAGGAATCGTTTTGCTCCAATAACCTTTCTTCCTGTTTCTGTTGCCAAGTCTTATTTCTAATATCCAACAATTATTAGGTGCCTACTGTGTACCAGGTCCTGGGTATATAGATTTAGTATGACTCAGGCCAAGGTTTGAGCATTTCACATCTCCTAGGGAAAGCAGATAATGAGAGTAGCTAACTTTTTAAAGTAAGCACTTACTGTGTACCATTCACCTTGAAGCCTCTCAACAACTGAATGAGGCAGGTTCTAATATTATTCCTAGTTTACAGACGAGGAGACAGAAGCTCAAGAAGGTGAATCTTTAATTCATCTACAGTCATACAGTAAGGGAGAAGCACGAGCCCGACTCAGTGCTACCCCTGGAGCTACAGGCGTGGTACTACGGGGCCCCGTGGAGGAGCCTGGTGTGGGGACCCCTGAGAGGCATCTCTGAGGTCTGTACTTCCAATGTCATTTGTCATTGAGATGGTGAGGACCCAAAGGATTGAAAAGGGTGGGAAATAAGAAGGTGCATTCTTCTAGAGACTACTGATGACAGTGGAACTAACATAAGCAAAAAGGCTGCAAGGAATGGTGCCACTTGGCCATGCATGTGGTGTGGCCCTCAGTGAGGGAGATAATGACTTGGCCTGAAGACACATGACCTGTTTCTGCCTCGTGCCATGGAGCCATGAGCTCAAGGGGAACACAGAGCCCATAGCCGTGCTATTCAGCTTCTGTCATTCCTGCTGCCAAAACTTTCACTACTGAGCAGAGGCGTGTGGCAGCCATGCTGTGTTCCTGTGAGTGCGAGACCCGGGTGGCACGTGAGACCAGGCAGCAGAAGCCTGTGTGTGGCTGAAGGTTGGCCCCCCAGAGGATACCCCCACGTCCTAACCTCTGGTACCCACAAGGTGACTTTATTTAAAGTGTCTATATAGATATAAACAAGTTAAGGATCTTGAGATGAAAATCAGTCTGGATTAGCCAGGTGAGCCCTAAATCCAACGGCAAATGTCCATACAGGAGAAAGGAGACAGAGACACAGAGGAGGAGCCACACGACAACTGAGGCGAAGACTGGAATGATGTGGCCACAAGCCAAGGGATGTCAGGAGCCACCAGAAGTGGGATAAGGCAAGGAAGGATGCTCCCCTAGAGAATGCAGAGCACACGTGCCCTGCCGACACCAGTGCTATGAGAGGACGAATTCCTGCTGCTTTAAGGCATCAAGGTCAAGGTGGTTTGCTACAGCAGCCCTAGGAAATGAACACTGTCTTCCATGTGTAGCCAGCTTGTCACACAGAACAGGCAAGACTGGAGCCACATCTGTCCCTGGCTGTGAGACCTCGTGCATCAGGCTCACCTCTCTGCGCGTAGGGAAGGGAACTAGACGGGCCTGTTCCCTGTGGGCTCGTAACATGCAGTGTGTAGAACAAATGCAAGTTCTACATCAGACCAGCACCTCGCAAACTTGATTGTGCTCACAACCCCCCACAGGGAGCAGCTAAAATACAGAGGCTGAATCAGGGGGCCTAGGGTGGGGCCTGAGACTTTGCATTTCTAACCGGCTTGCAGGTGTGGCCACTGTTGCTGGCCCATGGACCACACTTTGAGTAGCAAATGGAATTATATAGTTGTGCTCTTTGGGGTTTCATTTCACCCGATGTCAAGTTTTTTTGAGGCAGTGTTTTGCTGTGTTGCTCTGGCTAGAGTGCAGCAGCATCATAGCTCACAGCAACCTCAAGCTCCTGGGCTCAAGCGATCCTCCTGCCTCAGCCTCCTCAGTAGGACTACAGGCATGCGCCACCATGCCCACTAACTTTTCTATTATTTGTAGAGATGGGGTCTCACTCTTGCTCGGGCTGGTCTTGAATTCCTGGCCTCCAGTGATCTTCCTGCCTTAGCCTCCCAGAGTGCTAGGATTATAGGTGTGAGCCACCGCGCCCGGCCTAAATGTTAAGTTTTTGTAGTTGGCTGTGCCATTCTGGGGGAATGTTTGCAGGCCTGCCTCCATGGCCACCTGCTGGCAGAGAGCACCTTTTGTTCTCTGTGGCAATGGGATGGGGGCTCCTCCCCAAGGAGGTCCAGGTGGGAAATCTTACCAGGAGTCCCCCAATGTAGGCTCCTGGCTGACATTGCAAGATGGGGGGAGCCATGTGGGGACATGTCACACCAAATGTAGCTCCCCATCTACGGAGAGCCTAGTCTCACCTGGGGGTTCAGGCCTATCCCCAGAGCCCACTGCAAGGAAGTCCCTGTGTAACCGTCCTAATGGCAGTTTGTCATCATTAATTATTCAATTATGGAGCCCAAGAGTTTCTTACCTGGTGCTTCAATTAATTGCTTGTAAACACTCAGAAAAGCGGCCTCCGCCTCCTGACTTCTCTTACTAAGGGCCACCACCTTTGGAAACAACAAGAGAAAGAGTCATGTGTAACCATGGGATCTGGGTCTGCAAGCAAATCTGATCATTTTCTACCTGTGCAAACACTGAGGGGGGAGCGGGGGAAATGAATGTTGTAAGTGTGGGCTCTGGAGTCGGAATCTGGGTTCAAAGCCCAGCTCCACCGTGTCTAGGCTGTGCGACTGTGGGTAAGTCACTGCTCCTCTCGGATCCTTGGTTTCCTCCCCTGTAAAATGCTGGGGCGGGGGCTGGGGGTGGTAAAAAGCAGGACCTACCTCCTGGGCCTGCTCTGGGGATTAAATGAAGCCCAGGGCCGGGCAGCACACAGATTAAAAAAAAATTTTTTTTTTTGGTACTATTTATTTATTTAGAGACAAAAGCCTGTCACCCAGGCTATCACGGCTCACTGCAGCCTTGAACTCCTGAGCTCAAGCAATCCCCCCACGCCAGCCTTCCAAAGCACTGGGATTACAGCGTGGGCCACCGCTCCCAGCTCCGCAATGGGTTATGAGCAGCTATTCTTCTTGTTATTAAGGGGCATGCTGGAAGTTCAAATATGGCATGATTTGGGGGGCAAGTGGGACTTATCTGGGGAATATCACTCGCCACTGAAAATTAAGGAGAAATTGTTAAAGCTCTTGTAAGATATCAAAGAGCTTCCACAAGCACTGGAGGGTAACAGGGTTACAGGAAACAGTTCTTGGCATAGTGAAGGTGCTCAATAAATGTTTCTTGATTGGATGAATAAATGAATGGCAGGATAACCCAGTGGCACAGAGTTACATTCCTGCAATCATTCCTTTGCTCGTGGATCTTTCTCATTCTGCCAATGAGACTTCCTGAGGTGCTCGTGGGCGAGACGCCATCCTGCAGTGTGTGAGATGGTGCTGAGTTCTAGAACTCAGCACCATCCCACCCCTCTGTGGGAGGCTATTAATTCCAGAGCTCTGGCTTCACAGCCAGAGTGATTGTGGCTCTTGGTGGCCTGTCCCAGTGGAATAGTCCTGGGCCTCACATGTCTGGAGTGAGCTCCGGGCACCCACAGGCCACCAGCCCTACATCTGCAAGGCCGCTCTGGGCTGCGTGTCCCACTTTGGACGGGAATGAGTCTTATTCTCCCCGGCACTGACACACTGCTCCCTGGGCACCAACGCCCTAAATGACGAGTCTACCCAGAGCATTTACTCGTCAATCTACCTCTATCAGAGCTGGGCTTTTCTTATACATGTTGATGGAGTCACCGAAAGAGAAAGACAGGAGTGTCTCTTATCGAATTCCTCTCCTTAAAACGAGCTCTGTAAGAGCGTTGTTGGCGCACAGTAGGTACTCAACATAATTTGCCGAATGAACAAATCCAAGTGGGTTGCCCCAGTTCTAAGACCCGTGACCTAGATAATTCCTTTACTCCCCACCGGCAAAGGCCATTTCTGAGACAGTCTGATCACAGAGGTGGCCAACTGAGGCACAGGCACTGCAGCTAGCCTGCCTGGGTTCAAATGCCAGCTCCACCACTCACGGACTGTGTGTCCGTGGGCAGGCAGTCACTTAAAACCGTGGCCTCTACAACCCCACTTGTAGACTGGCGAAGATAATACAACCACTTCCCTCAAAGGGGTACTGGGAGAATGGAATGAGTTATCATGTGCAATAGTGCCCTTTGAATAGCTCCTGGCTCGCATCCGGCCCTACAGGTACGGCACCTCTAGGTATAACCAAGCTTTCTTTGGCCTGGGACCATGACAGGGTCCACCCAGTGCTGGGTAATGACCTCAGCTGTGCTTGTCTCTGGAGTCTCACGAAGACTACCTGAGAAAGCGCCTGTCCTCTCCACGCACAGCAGGAAGAACCGGAAAACCACGTGCGTTCAATATGGCGGCCACGAACCTCCTGTGGCTCCTGAGCATTTGAAAAGTGGTGAGTCCAAATCAAGATGTGCTAAGTGTAAAATACGTACCAGCTTCTAAAGATGTAGTATAAAAGATAGTGTAATAGCTCATCAACTTTTTAAATATTGATTACATATCAAAGTGATAATGTGTAATCACTTTTTACTTTTTTTTTAATGTGGCTACTAGAAAATATAAAATTATATCTGTGGATCACATTATATTTCTCTTAGTGCAGTTCAAAGATTTTACAAGGCCCATAAAGAATTCGTTATTTAAGAGAGGTAGAGAGAAATGTATGGTAGATGTTGAATAAGTGATTTAAAAAAATCAGTTACAAAAGCTCCTTAATCTCATTCATTGTTGTCCTGAGAAAGTCCCTGGTCTTCCACCTTCCAGGGTGGATGATAGTCTTTCACTCACTCAACAAACATTTCCTGAGCACCTGCTATGTGCCAAGCCTGGAGGACTGGGAACCCAACATGAATATTGCAGACTTGGACCCCACCCTTGTGGGACGTGCAGGCCCGTGGGGGACACTGACATTGAGGTACATTCCCCAGATGCTTCGCTAATTGTAAGTGCTAAACGCTTGGAAGACAAAGTACAGGGGGCCTTGAGGGCGTGGAAGTGGGGGAGGCTGACCCAGTTTGGTGGTGGAACATTAAGCATTATCGCCCCAAGAAGGGCAAGCTGGTGGGGGGAAGGCAGAAACAATGTTCTAGAATCTAGAGAAAGGTAAAATTATCACACAAGCAAGTAGACAGATTTTTAATTCTCGCTGAGATGGACAAAGACACAGGTCCTGCTCTGGGCACTTGCAGCTGAGTGGGAGACACAGCTACACCCAAGAGGAAGCACTACCCGGGAGGAGGTGCAAACGCCGGAGGCTCCTGTGAGCACTGTGAGGAGGGGCACTTTGTTCAGTTTGGGGGCATCCCTGATGGGTTAACAACAACAACAACATGACACTGAACGTTCTCCACGTGCCAGATGGCGCTATTCATGATCATCTATTTCCACAGACACACTGATCACTGAATTGCCGCTGCACTTATCCCCATAGCTCAGATGAGGAAACTGAGGCTCAGTCAGGTTAAGCCACTTGCCCAAGGTCACCCAGTTAGTAAATGGCAGGGCCAGGATTTAGACCAGGTCTGGGGACTCAAATTGCTGTTGTGAATCCAGATGCCAGCCCCCATTCCCTGGATAGAAAAGCCATCCCAGACAGTGGGGCCGGCCGCTCACACCCCATGCGGACACCACTGCCTCAAAAGTCGTCTACAGCTGCACTAGGTTAGAGGCTGCGGCGCTGGCAACCCAGTGCCCAGGAAAATCACGAGAAACAAAAGCAATTCATCGCTCGATCCCGAGACAGAGAACGATCAAAGATCAGCCGCCAGAAAGCCTTAGTGCTCCATCTCACAGCTGCCCGTGCTGAGCGGGAGTGGTGGCTCGGGTTTGGGTAAAGACATGGACTTCTAAAAAGGAACTCTACGTAGGGGTGGGGGAAAGTGCCAGAAGATTTCTTTAATATTTTCCCATCCCTGCCCACAGCACTCCCTAACTAGGTTCCCTACACAGCACTTAGCAGTTTGTGATGGTGTATCATTTCTCTCTGAGACCGTCCGTCTCCTTGCAATGTCGGGTTTCCCCGCTGCAGCTGAGCTCTCAGATGGTGGCCACCAGCCCCTGTGCCACTGAGCACTTGAGATGGGACTATTCTGAGCTGAGATGAGCTGTAAGTGTAAAATACAGGATTTCTAAGTCTTAGAATGAAAAAAGGAATGTAAAATATCCCAATATTTTGTAAATATTGATTGCACGTTGAAATGATAATATTATTGCCATACTAGGTTAATTTAAAAAATATTATTAACATTAAATTTAACTGCTTCTTACTTTTTAAAATGTTGCTACCAGAAAATGTTAAATTACAAGTGTGGTTTGCATTCTATTTCTACTGGGCAATGATGATCTGATTGAGGGTTGGTAAAACTATGGCCCTTCATCTGTTTGTGTAAATAAAGTTTTACTGGAACACAGCGACAGCTATTCTTTTACATATTGTCTGTGGCTGCTTTCACTCTACAAGGGCACAGTTGTGTAGCTGTGACAGACACCCTGTGGTCTGTAGAGCTAAAAATGTTTACTATTTGGCCTACAGAAAAAGTTTGCTGACCCCTACTTTAGGAGTTCATCTAATGGCTTGACAATATTTTCGAAAGCAGAGATCAAAAAGTATCCTGGAATGGCATTCAGTTTGAATCAGTTCATGTTTAGGGCTTCCCAAAGTGAACCTGACTCTCGAAGACAGGAGCTATTTGGAAGTCCTGCCTCGTTCAGTCTTGTTTCAGAGCAACAACCTTGTGGGTAGAAATCTTAAATTCCTGACGGCATCAGAGCCTGACCCGGTACTGTGCGTAACGTCACATCTGCAAGGCCGCTCTGGGCTGTTTGTTCAGTTTGCCCTCAGTTTGCTCATCCATTAATTGGGAAGAGTACTCTCCACCTGCCCATGAAGCTGTCAGGGCAGGATGAGCTAACACATAGCAGAGCGTCCCGTGCAAGCTGACAAAAGCTTTCTAATAGATCAGATGTCTCTTCTTCTCACCACATAGAATGTCTCTCCCCAGGGCTGCAACCCTAATGCATTTCACCCCTGTGCCCAGAACAGGTGAGCCTGGCATAAAGCAAAGGCCACGTTCAATAAAAGGCCATGTGTTTCTGCTGCATGGTTGTGCCCTACACACAGAACAGTGGTAGAAAAGCATCCAGAACGACAGATTTGGGTTGTAACCGGAAGATCTCTGAAGGCCATCTGGGGAAGGAGGAGGTGGCAGTGGCCAGCTACAGACATCCTTAAGAAGGTCACCATCAGAAATAGCTCAGCGTCTGAGGGAACATGCAACATTTACATGGCCCGCTGTGATATAAGGGTGACGATGTGCTTGGTCCCCGACAGATGAACATAACAGATACAGAGCGGCAGCCAGAGGAGAAGCAAGGCCTGTCCCAGCCACCTAGGCCTTGTCTGCCAGGTGGTTAAAAACAGGAAATTTGGGACCCCCCTGCCGCCACCCCCCCCACTCCATCACTCCAGGCTGAGCTCC